GGTGCGTGCTTTTATTTTGACGTGGTGTCAACAACGATGTTATTAATTAACGCTCTCCAATAATTTAATTAATATGTAAAAAGTACTCATTTATTGTATAATGACGTCTATACCAGCTGCTACTTTTGTCAAGGCAGCTCAACCTTACCCTAACCCTGTATCCCCAATGATATGCAAAAATAGAAAATGAGTGTATTGAAATAAATAATTCGAATTAGTTATTGAGGAACAATAATAAATCAATATAATTCGATATAGACTACACTCGTCGGAACTTTGATAAGACCGCCCTTTATTAATTGATCATTATTGAAACTTCTAGCGCCGCCTAAAATGCTTTTTGTCTGTACAATCACGTCATCTGAAACAGGAACTTATCGTTCTTCTCTAAACCTACACAATAGTACATGTATTTTTCATTTCTGTCCAATTACTTTTATATAGAGTCCCTTCGATTAAAAAAAAGTTAAAACAAAAAGTGCCCAAGAACATGCGGCTCAAACGTTTTGAATGCATAATTTAAGAAACTACATTTTATTCGCGCCGTTATTTACAAAAAATAATTAAAATAATATTTCTCTGGTCATTTCCTCTAGTTTCAACTGAAGTTAACTGTAATTCACCTATATGAATATTTAAATCTTAATATCATTTACATTAATTTCCAGGTTCTGCAGTCTCAATAGTAGCGGAATTCATCGTCCACATTGAAATTACACACAGTACATTCTAGTTCCGACTTATTCGCATGGGATATTATCACTTAAACATTTTGATTATAATTTATGCTTCATGTTGTATATAGAGCAACGTCTTATTTATATTATTTTTTCTGATGAATATTCTGAATATTCACTAACCCACGGGGGAGGAAGTGTTACACGAAGGATGGAGTTCTTATAATAACTTGTTCAGGAGTTCTTGTGATAACTGTCACGGAGTTCGTCGGAAAACATCGGTATATACCAAAAAAACACTCGTCAAAAGTGGTTATTTTCATCGTTCAAAAATGAGTTTTAGGTGCTAAATTAAAATTTAATGATTAAGCTTGTCTTACATCTTGTATTATATGTCAAAAACTAATACACAGGCCATTTTTAATCGCCTCTTGCTTCAAATCTGGTAGTTTTGAGTAAAATTTCCAAATTATTTGCCAAGTTTTGACCGGTTTATTTCTAGTCTTCATCCTTGCCATACATAATTACCTAATTATTATGCAAAACTGCAAACATAAAGCAGCGGCTAACAGATTTATACCCGATTTTTCAAATGTCCCGGAGTTCTTGTGATAACACTGAAGATGTCACAGAGTTCTTATGATAACTTTTGTTATTGCCAGTGTGTTTCTTGCGCTAAATCACGGCACGTTTTGGCGTTTATTATCTTTCAATAAGATTGTAAATCATTATGAAATGCAGTACGATCATCCTTTGCACAAAAATGTGGATAAAACGTTGGATAAGTGTCTGCAAAGGATAAATAGGCTATCATCTACAGTAAAAATTGAACCAGCGGCCACTGATATTCAGCAGTATAATGGCTTAAACCTCAAAACAAAAATGTCTCAAAACGTACACGTTGTTCTCAGCTTCACATGTTTTAAACAACCACCTTTCTTAAGCAGACAATATATAGGCATGCTTCCCTTACCTTAGGGCTAAGTAATTTACATCATTTATACCATAATAAATAAGTATATAACCAGGATAATTTCCACACGGTCACCCATGTCTTAAAAAAGTACGATGCATGATAAAAACTCAACTGCGGTTGACTCTAACTACCGATCTCTCGAACAAATTTGAACTGTCCTTCCAGGTTCGAGCGAACTAAGTTTGACTAAATATTTTTGTTATCAATTACAGCAGAAGTAGCAGAGTTTCCTCCACTAAGATTACATAGGGGAAATACTCATCAAACATCGACAGAAAAATATACATGAAAATACCATATTTGAGTATTTCAAAGCGCATTTTTTTCACGTACATAAATGCCCTACTGGTTTCATAGCAGTTCCCGGCCCCAAATCGCACTTTTTAACAAATAAAATAAAAATCTGTCTACCGAAGAGTGCAAACTTTGACAGAACAAAGTTAGGTACCTGTCCAGCATTACCATGTTTTAATGTTGCTCTTTTTACATTTTAATGGAATAAAGACCTGAGATGTAACACCTTTGCTCACCATTATTCAAAATTTCATAGCAGTTTATCGGACATTTTTATTTTGAATATAATACAGTACCAATAAGCAATGTTAAGCTGGGTTTTTCAAATAGATATAGCTTCCCAAGCTTTTCCTGCAAATATATTGTTTAAAAGTAGTGATTTAACTAGAATGGGATTTCAGTTATTGTGCATGGGTATTCAAACTAGAATTCCCCAGGTGTTGCTTGTAAGTGTCGCAAGTTTTGTAATGTAACTTAAAACAACAGACAAAACTTTAAAACATATTAATCGCTGTACTATTATAACTGCTGTATTACATAGAAAACAAATGTTTCTCTGATTGATGCAGTAACAGATGCTTAACTGATAAAAAAAAAAAAAAAAACAAAAAAACTGTATGCCTGGATGAAAATGATAAAAGGTCAGAATACTGCTAGGAGCCGGAAACTGCTAGGAAACCAGTACATAAATCTTTTTTGCAGTCTACGAAATCTGCGTCAAACAAGAAATAAACTATGAAAAAGGAACGGGGGTAAGAAATAATATCTCTTTAACTAAAATTCAATCAAAACCAGCATTATATATCCTATTTTGTGTGCAAAGGATGAGCGTACTACATTTCATAATAATTTACAATCTCATTGAATAATAAAAAACGCTAAGACGTGCCGTGATTTAGCGCAAGAAACACACTGGCAATAACAAAAGTTATCATAAGAACTCTGTGACATCTTCAGAGGTATCACAAGAACTCCGGGACATTTGAAAAATCGGGTATAAATCTGTTAGCCGGTGCTTTATGTTTGCAATTTTGCATAATAATTAGTTAATTATGTATGGCAAGAATGAAGACCAGAAATAAATAGGTCAATACTTGTGAATTGGCAAATAATTTGGAAATTTTACTAAAAACTACCAGATTTGAAGCAAGAGGCGATTAAAAATGGCCTGTGAATTAGTTTTAGACACATAATACAAGATGTAAGACAAGCTTAGTCATTAAAGTTTAATTTAGCACCTAAAACTCATTTTTGAACGATGAAAATAACCATTTTTAACGAGTGTTTTTGTAGTATATACAGATGTTTTCCGACGAACTCCGTGACAGTTATCACAAGAACTCCTGAACAAGTTATCATAAGAACTCCATCCTTCGTGTAACACTTCCTCCCCGAAGTTCATACTGTTCTAATCAATCTAATAATAAAAGGGAAATAATCGATATAGGCCTCTTGTATAAATTGTATGCTAGTACATTCCCTTCTAATTATTACTTCTAAATTCGTTTATCTTATGATGAAAAAAATCATTGCACTGTTCAATAAACAATTAATAATATTTAGACTAATAAAGTATTATAATTTTACCTAACGTCTTTCTACATGGCGTTGTTAATCAAAGGCGGCCATTTACTAGAACAAAATCGTATAGGAAACACAACAAGATTATTATATAGCTTCCACACATTAAAAGGCAAACGAAGTTACCGGAAGTCCCCATGGTAGGCCATTTCACTTGTTCACGGCTTTTGATGTCATAAATGTGGTCACTGACACTCAAACTCTTTCGTCAATAGGTTAAAAGGCAACCAGATTAACCACTTAGCTATCACTCACAATAAAAATATTTTGAAATATATCACTATTTCTTAAATTATGCATTGATTCGATTCACAAATATAAACAATCGCGCAAAAACATCATACACCTCTCTATTATTTCTCTTAGTTTCCTGTGTTATTCGATTTAGTAACGAGGGACAATGTGCATTACGTATTATATTTGCCATATTATATAATATATAATACATGTATAATGTACACATAGATAATAAACGTTTGTGAATACATCCACTATAGGATACTGAAACACAATATTCCCATTTTTTGTGAAATAAATGAAAGATTGAAAGATGAGTAGAGAGATCGATTTGTCATCTGTTTGTATCATTAATTGTCCGCAGCTGTTCACAGATTAATGTTATATTAGTGCCTATACACTTCACAGTATTTTCTTTTTTTGCCAATTAAAAAAAAAACTAATATCATGGTCAAGAAAACAAGTTTCAAGTTCATAAATAACTTTACTTAATAATTGTGTTTTTTAATGGATTTAGTGGAGAAAAACGGTGAGTCAATTCCATGTTAGATACTATATGCCTGTCCGCCATCGGAAAACAAAAACAAATTTAAGGCCAATTAGTTTCAGACATATACAAATTTTAAAGTCAAAATGAAAATTCAAATTAGATATATTTGGTTAGAATTAAATAAATTTCAATAAATTTCTGTGATTAAAATATTTTACTAAAGGATCAGCATAGTATAGTTTTTAATTTGGCATGTTTTAGGACAGAACAGAACAGAAGATCACTTATTTGCTTTATTTGTACATAATACATCATGACATACAAAATACTTTTCAAGTAACATGTACACTTCATTGCAATAAATGAATGCAGTTACATTAAGCAAAATATCATTGCAATCAATCAATGGTGTTACATAAACAAAATGATAATTGTAATCATTAATTGTTGATTGTAATTAACCCTTAGTGAAAGGCACAATATGCCTCAGAAACGAATACATTCGTCATTTTAAAAAAAAGGACAAACAGTAGTTTAATAACGTTTAAATAATGGTTCTAGAGCATGTTAGATACTTATTACCCATAGAAAGTAGCGCCGAATGTTAACTTATATGTCATAAGTGTAGCAAAATGTAAATAAAGTAGTTTTTTGACATCAATACAAAGTACTAAATCACAATAATGATACTTATTATCAAAATGCATCATAAGTCAAAGATGGTACATGTAACAGGCCATTTTGTACATAAAAAAGCTTTAGATAAATACAAATAAAAGCATTTCTGAGTCATAATGGGCCGATAAGTGAGGATGAACATATACAAGAAGAATACATAACTTTTCTTCATTGATTTAAAATAATGAACTGTAGAGGTAAAAGGATGTTGAAATTTTAGACCAATAAAATTAACGTTAGTTAATCTATTGTTTACCAGACTGAAAAAAGGAGAGAAAAAAAAAGCATTTAACTCTTAAAATTCAGGGGCATTTTTAATTTTAAATTTTGTTTGAAGTTTTTTTCCATTTATTTTTTTAAAATTGATATGGCTCTACTGTTGATAGTTTTTGGCTATAATATTCTTAAAATATTTTGTCCTTTATAAGTTTGCATAATACATGTATGCAATTTGATATGGCTATGAATGTTATAACATTTAATGCTTTATAAATATTATGTTATGATATTATGTTACAATGTTATTATATAAATATTTTCCTCCCAGCTTTATTGTATCAACGTGTCAGGTTATATTTCTTTGAAGTTATTTATGCAAGGTTCAAGAAAAAAAAAGAGAATAAAACAAAAATATAAAACAGTACTAGTATTCCAACACAAGATTTTTTTATAGTCTATCTAAGGACTGCCTAGCTATTGTTTGCTAGATTATATAGTCAATATGCACCACTATTATTATAAATCAAACACATGTAACCGGAGCGGATAAATATTCGCTTATATTATTGCATTATATACGGTGTAAGTTTTCGTTTGAAGTTGAATGGCGTGCATTTAGATTGTATTGTAATGGCTTAAGTAGCAATGGATTCATTTTTCCTTTGATGATTGAAAACAAAAAAGTTTTATGTTACATGTATTCAACATTCAATAACTGAGCACCTGTATCGTATCTTCTTGTCAAAAAGGACAAACACACATTTTTTGAGCAAAATAGTGATATATTTGTGTAAAACTCCATGTAAACTCAAAAAAAGATTTATTCAGTTTTTTCTGCTTTAAATAATAATAATAATAATAATAATAATAAATGTAATAATAAATATATCAATAACAACAACAACAACAACAATGGTAATAAATGTGATTGAAGAAGAAGAAATGTTCGTTGTGTTGTCAAACGTCAACATTTAATTTGCATTATTATTTTGATCTTAATATAGCTGCAATCTCATTGGTCCAAACGATAATCAACCAATTTTATTCACTGGGTGTAGTATCATATTCACTGGCTGAATTTATTTTCCCAGTCTAAGAATTTATTGAGACTCATATTTAATGAACTGTAGTGCACCTAAAAATAATTGCGTTTTGTTCTGTATGGCATATTTCTCGATTGAAATATAAAAGTTAAAGGTTACATCACAATGATAAGTTTAAACATAAATTAATGCTTTTGTATGCGCAGCAATCGCGTTGTTTTTGTGATTGTTTTTATTTGCCTTTTTCATATAATAAAACAATTATTTCACCGGCAGAAAGCCATAATGACATCGGCTTTTGTCTGGGTTAATATGTCATCTGCCGGTGAATATCACATCATATTCAATGGCACATTAGTCAATAATTGTATATGACAAATTTTCTTCTTCTTTTATTATTGCCTGTATCCCATTTGTCATTTCTACAACAGCTTGGATTTCCGTAACACCCATACGTCTCTTGTTGCTTATGTCATACGTGTCACCAAATATACCTGTCCCATCACCATGGTATCCTCGCACCTGTAAATTGTATTTCTCACATACTGTTTCTAACAAGTTCTTATTGGCAGAAAGCTTTGGTATTTTGATATGAACGGATGCTCTCAAAGTTGTGCCGAGGTTTGTTGGGCAAAATGTTAGGTAGCCGAGACGTTCGTTGCGTGCGAAACGAATGCGCTCTTCCATCAGGCGAACTCCTTTCACAAGTCTCCAGTACACCTCGTCAATGCGGCCACCTGCTTGCATGGATATGATACGGATGTGATCCGTTTCGCTAATCCAGATTAAAAATGTTTTTGTCTTGTTCATGAAAATACCTCGATTTTTCGGCCAATTACGATAAACTCCCGCTGAGCGTGAAGATCTGTGATTTGAAATAAGAGAATAGCCATTGTCAGTTACTTCCTATCAATTGTAAACGAGTCAAAACATAAAGTCCAAACCTATTTATCCTCTTACAGTGTTACATAATTCAGACCAACATTTAATAATCTAAAATAAAATATAAAAAGCTGATGTTTAACTTTCTATGGGATAAGAAGCCAGGCAAAATTTCTAGATTAAGATTATTCGAGATTACCGTCAAGGGGTCTTTTAATATTAGACATTGAAAGTTTCATATACTAGTTCTCCTTAAATGGCGTTGGTTTAAACGCATTAAATTGAAACAACGCTCAAAATTGGTTCAAGTTTATGAAAATAGGTTAAATAGATATGACAAACAATTTATATCTAAATGTAACCTAAACAAAAAAGATACTGCAAATCTTGATATAAGATCTAGATTATGCGACTGTTGCATCATGACATCAGTATCTATAATGTACTTTATTTTGGGAATGCTTTAAAGTTCAACCATTTTAGTGTAAAATTGATTAAGGCACCTTTTACAAATAAAATATCCTACAAAAGGAATTTTGGTATCATTCGAAACTGTCAGTCTGTGTAATGTGGGTAAACAATATATTATGAAATCAAACTGCATTAACTATATCTTATTCTTAGGGAAATAATTCATCTTTAAAAAAAAACAAAAAAAAAAACAACAACAGAATTTTAAGTGTACGAAACTTCGATAATTTTTAAATTACCGTAAATATAAACTTTGTTTTGAAGGACTCATTGCTGAAATGAAAAACAAGGTCGGTGTCCATAACAGCAAGTGGAGCATATTTTTACAAAGAAAACTAATATATGTATCTGTAAAACACTTTGATACGAATAATACGAATGGTCATTTTGAAAAATTTATTTCTTTTGACACAACCAATAACGTATTAAAATTATTGTTTACTTGCTATCCTTAGATTACAATGCATCATAAAATTAGATTAAGTTCGGACATTTACATTCATCTCGAATAGGTAGAATATGAGTATATCCAACCTCACCCAGGTTCAGTTAACAAACTACAAGAACACGTTTAAATAACAAGTATCTCTGAAAATCTATATATGCTTTTTGTTCTTAAAAATATTAAAACATAACATTTGAAATTTCAAAAGGAATGAAATATACATACGTATTAGAGTGGTTATACAGCAAGTGGTTTTCAATGAGATTCACTTCCTCTGCTTCCGTCATTTTCTCAATTGGAAAGTATTCTCCCTTATATTCGTCCTCCAACTGACCTAAAGCGACCTTGACCTTTGCCTCGACTTGACTTTTTTCTCAGAGATAACAAAGTTTGGGAATGGGAAACCCTTTCTAATTTTTCGTCCACACAACCCCGATAGATATGATACTTTTTAAAGGGTCAAGGTCAATTTTTTTAAGATCATCTTCTCCCCGAAGCATGGGGGGAAAGTGACGGATTGACATCAAGGGGTATTTTTGGTAGCCTTATTGGGGGGATCGAAGAGAGCCCCAAAAAATGGGATGAGGCATCCGGGTCAGTTGCCCGAACGCCGATTTCTACATCAAGTTGTTCCACACCTATGCGAAATACAACGCCATTTTTATAACATTTTTATTATAAGGTTTTTTCGTTTATTGTGATTTCACAGTGTAACTCATCAGAGTGTCATAGAAAAGTAATGTCCCTTGCAGTGCCTCATATTTATTAATAAATAGTAATAAAATTGTTAAAAATCTCTAATTTTATATTTTCTAATAAAATTATGCTAATAAAATACAATCAGCATTAGCGTAATGAACTGTAATAGGAAGTTATTCGGGAACCAGTGGAAAAATTGATATTAAGGGTAACTGGACAAATGCCGACTGCTTAAGGTCGTTCACTTGAAACCACATTGCTTTCATGTTAGGAAGCTTTCGACGTTTCCAATTAGTGCCTTAAAATGTGCTTTTGGTTGTATTTCATTCTGAAAGAATAAATTCATCTAAACTACTGTAAATGTAAAAAAAAAAAAATGGTATTGATATAAATGGAGGTTACAACTTAAAAAGTTGATACTATTTGTTTCATCATCGGCATTTAACTTTTATCTCAAAATTATTTGTAGTTGTTCTAAGAATTGGCCAATACAGACATTAGTAACCGTTTCTTTCGATACTGTAGGAAGCCTGAGCCTTATAGACAAACGCTCAATCTGTTTATGGAACTAACCAGTTCTAAGCAGTAAGTGTGAACTTCTTGTGAAGAAAACGACGGCTTGCCCCTGACAGGGTTTGGACCCGAGCGTCAAACAATACTTTGAATCTGATGAATAGTCCGACACGTTAACCACACAGATTTGGAATATTTCGTTAGTAAACTTATTGTGATGATTTTTGAAAGAACTTTTCCATTTTGTTTCGAAATAAATATTTATTTTTTTGTTTTAATCATCATGTTTTGTCAGATGTTCTAGAGAGAGAGGAGGATGTTGTTTATTTAATTTATTATTTTCTTATTCTAAATATCACTTTTACCCACGATTTAATAACCTATACCCATACCTGAATTGATACATTGTGATAATGTTCCACCGAACTTTGTCTTTTTATCTTTCAGTTTTTCAAATGTTTCGTTAGTAAGGTATTTTTTCATCAGAGACGTCGCATGTTTAGCTGCATTCAACCTCTCAAACTGTTCATCTATCGTCATGGAAGGTTCCATACTTTCTGAAACGTGAATTAATTAATGTTAATAAATAGAGCGGCGGCATGGCAAAGTGGTTAACGCATCAGACTAGAAATCTAAGGATTGCTGACCGCATGGGTTCAAACCCTGTAAATTTTAAGCCATTGTTTCCTTGAAAAAGAAACTTCCCTTGCTTAGTACTGGTTGGTTCCAGATTGCATAATGTGCGATAAATGGTTCACGTAATATTTGTGTTTAGAAATTATATTATTTTAAAGTAATGTTTTATTCATTAACCAAAAATATAACTTAAAAGGAGAGGGAAATCAAATTTGAGGTACACACTTGTGTGTCTTAACGATAGGAAAACACAATTTATTAACTTAACTGCCGCATTCCATTCAATTCCACCCCCGCCCACTACCTCAATATACAATGCAACGATGAAAGTACAAATATTTAACTTGTTATGAAAACATTAATCTTTTTTTAATGGACAAATCATTATTTATATTAAAATAAAGCTTTCCCATATTTATTGCTACCTCTCCATTTAACAGTTTTCGTCTTATATATACGACCGTTAAATACTTAGGAGCAAGTCTGTAAAATTGAAAATATAAGTGCCGTAAAGTATATAACGTAAGTAGACATGTCGTAAAATCAATGCTTAAAACCGGAAGCATGAAACATAACATGTTTTTATTAGTAATCCCTCTAGGATTTAAGATAATGTTTGTTATGCGCTCTTAGACAATACGCTCTTCATATCACATTTAATGTAAGCTAGACATAAAATTTAAGTATGGGGTATATAAATGCCATAATAATTATTACTGAAAGTGTAGTTCATTTTCTAATTCGCTTCACGAAAATAAATCATGTATCACCTAATAAGAGTTATAAGACCTTTAGTCTGGAACAGAATAAACAACAACATTGAAATAGGATGAAATACACATCAATACAAAATAATTATACCACTTTATGTTTACGGAAGCTGAACTTCTGAACTAATACAACGTGTAAATTAAACTATTATCTTAAATTGATTATTAACATGTCGATATCTACGGATATCATTAACCAAAAGCTTTACTGCCAGTAAAACATGCTTTTACTAACTCACTGACTACAGGGTGCACTTAAACATGGAAAACATACAATTATGAACATACTTCCCCAGTCAGTATGCTTCGAGTCGGCTACGCAACCCTACTCCAACGTAGGAGGGGGTGTAGTAGGAAACCAAGTCTCAAGATCAGCCATCTTCCTTAAGTGTCCTGACATGATTTTTTGTACAGAAGAAAACCTGAGAAACTAATCCATTAATTTTAAAATTGAACTATATTAAGAAGCCTAAAACGTACATTCATTAAATGCATACCCTCCATATGCAAGGTAACTGCAAAAATAATAAAGTCTTTTAACATAAAATTAGAAGTTATGTATATCTCTTTCCGTATTTTAGCTTTGTAAGTAAACCAAAATAAACTGGAAACTAAGAAGCCAACAAAAGACAACTCAGAAAACAATAAAAATAGCCTTCAAACTATGATGTTTCTTGGGAATATAAGAAGTGACAAAACTTTCTTCATACAAATATACATAAACGAATACATAACACTAGAATCCCCGATTCCTCAAAATCCTCAATTTTGTTAATAAGCCCTCGGCTATACATCTTGACCCTTGGTTAAAGATAATTCTGCATTAAATTATAACCAGACAACTCACAATGTCCAATGCTAAGCTTGCGTCTGTTATACCAAAACATCTAAAACATTCCAATAGCCCCCGACTATACATGTATATCTTGACCCTTGGTCAAAGTTAATTCTGCATTAATTATAATCAAATAATTCATAATTTCCCACGCTAAACTTGGGTCTGTGATACCAAAATATATTTATCTTAAACATTTCAATAAGCCCACGTCTTTACATCTTGATCCTTGGTCAAAGTTAATTTTGCATAAAATTTCTAATCAAATAACTTCTATACTTAAAACCTTTCAAAAATATCACAGAAATAACACATATTTAAATTTAAAAATGGTATTTTATTCATTCATAAAGACAGTTAACACCTTAATTGAAGAAATATCCTACCCGTTCATACTATTTTGATGGAGGTCCTGATGGAAACGGCAGAAGATGTGCCAATGTTTGTTTAAATCAAACACGTCAGAATACTTGTGTCTAAGAACTAATCTACGTCGAAACTTTTATTAAAATATATATTATATATTATAAAAATTCATTCATAACTACTAGCATTGAAATAAGTGTTACAAATGTCATGAGTATTGTCTGCCATTAATGATATATAATTCTTAGATTATGCTTTTCACGGCTAAGTTCAGGAAAAACGTGTCACCACCCTACGTACATGGTACCTTTACGGAAGAATTGAACGGATTAATGAAGTGATTGTTATTATCTCTTTGTAAAAGACCCAAAAGATTCTTAAAATCTTCATTCAGCCTACTAACTTAAGTAACATGAGTATGAATTATTAAAAAGCCACTAAATTATCATTGAAAGATCATTTTAACTGTTGATGCAATAAACGCACTTCACTCTTCAGTCAGTCTGAACATTAGTTACGGTGGATAATTCCCGCCAATTTACTCAAATGGAAACGAACATCTTTGGCAAAATGAGAGTCGCATCATACTACGTGTAAGCTGTATCATCTATCATCATAATCCATAGTTATGAAGCTAACATCAGATAAGAATTGGTCGAACTAAACATACCTTCTCTCAGTACCAAAACATGTATAATTTTAATCGAATTCTTACTTTAAATTCCATGTTTATAATGCATGTGCGATAATTAAACAAAAAAACACCATAATTTTCGTCTTAGGCATGTAGAAATAATAATTTTTGATTGGAACCATCATTAAAACTATGTAAAAAGAATATGTGCGATTGTTTAACTTTTATTTTATAAGATCGGTCTCCCAAAAAAACCCATGGATGATTATTAATAGCTCTATCTGCAATTAAGTGGACATAAAAATGTTCATTACATTTAGCCAGCCGAGTGCATTCACCTTGGCTGTGCCCTCTCTCATGCTTAACTGTTTTTCTAAAACACAAATTATCTTTAGACATCAATAAACACATTTTCCGTGCATTTTCTCTAAACCTGAACAAAGCAAACCCCTATCTCACTTGCACGATAGGCATACGATATTCCAATTCCCACTGAAAACCTTTTTTCTGCCACCTTTAAACGGATTGCCAATGCAAATCTTTCAGCTTCCACATCAAACCTCCGGCAACAAACCCCACCTCACTCCAAATGAAAATTATAAATGGAACATATATCAAGTTTTTTTTCACAACATGATAATCTGCTATTTCACCTAGCCACGTTTGGTGCTATACTGTAATATTGATGTGCAATGTTTAATTTCAAATTGCCCAACTTAAATTTAAATTCACGACGACTCATATGTACTTTTGTCATAATTTTAAACCAGTGTTAATCTGTTAATATGATTCATGCGTTTTTATCAAAATTATTTTAGGATGTATATTGTATTGATATTTATGCGTGATCCAAATCTATTAACTCAAACTAATGCACATCTTATTCACTGTAAACATTTAGGCTAATATTAATCAGAATAGACTAGCACAGAAAGCGTAATGAAAACATCTCATTGATGATGCAACAAAAAAAATGAAATACCACTTGAACATAAAACCGTTCTTCATTTTAAACACCACGAAAGCCCATTGAGGCCGTTTTGAGTTACAAGTTAGAAGGCAACAATTCAAACTTAGATCTTAGATTTTAGGTCTTAGTTCGAAGAACTAGAGGTTTTTAAAGGCGGGACTGCAAGATAGATATGAAGATATATGTGAGGTAATATTCTAATAATATTTCTTTAGTTTTATATTTTGTTTTAAAGAATTTCATTATAATGAAATATATGGTGAGTATATCTGTATAACTTAAAAGGCGTGGTGAAAAACAACCAATTGAAGTGGCTATTTAGCCCATTGTAGCTATTTTAGTCAAACCTTGCAACAACAAAAGAAAGATGAGGGACACAAGCGTCAAAACTGATACTTTTTGCCTGTCATTGTGTAATTCACCAATTGTCAAATTTGGAACAGTATCTAAAATTGTGTAACTGTCAGTTTTGTTTGTTAGTTTTGTTATGTATACAAAAATAATTTGATTATTTTTCCTATTGCAGAATCGTCTGTATTCCTTTTCCGGACGACGAAAATGGTATATACATGGGCATGGATATTTGGAATTGGCTGTTCTAACACCAGTATCTAGTGTTGTGATCATGGATTTAGCTGTCATTCTTTAACAAGCCTAGAACTGATTAAAATTACTTATACATAGCTAATTTTACAAGGATATTAAACTAATACTAAAATTTGACGAAATTGTCCAACGCAAAACACGTACACCTAAAGACGAAGTAAGGGACCCCATTATTGTTGTAATCCATAGGAGTGCCAAGTATGTAGACTTCGATCGATGTTGCACAAATTAGTAAGACTGACTAGCGGTTGCATTGTCATGACTGTCGAGATATTCTGTAATGAGGCTAATGCCACAAATCGATCCCGAAGGAACTATAGCTAGTTATGCAACAATGGCTTGATAAGCCATCATATGGTACCCTGCCAAGGGGACGGCCACATACTTCCTTTGTAAAATTATATTGTGCCTATTCAGTAATGCGATTTCTTGTGAATAGACTGACGGCCCCAATTTGTAGCCAAGAGCAGGTCACACCATCTTTTGTGGAGAATTATGCCACTGTCTCCTTAGGAAATTGTAGCAAATGGCAATTTATTTCAATACTATATAACTTTTTATATACCTATATGTCATGGTATCTCCAGTCAGTATCAAACCGCTGATCATCAAATATTGATACAGAAGTGCACTTTGTTACAATTAAGGCAATGGTTATCTTTTATTTAAGTGGCCACTGTGATCTTGACCTAGTAGAAATGAAAACACGGAAGGATTGACCGCTGATGGAAATTGCAAAT